AGAACGATAAGGAGAGAAGGAGGGGCAGGGAGGGTATGAGGGGGGCGGGGTATGGGAGAGGAAATGCGGGCGGAGAATGTGGAGGTGGAGGTGGGAGGGTAGCAGGGAGGGAACCAACAGGTGGGGCCCCTCGCCGAAGGCGGCGGGCTCGAGGGTGAGGCAGGCAGGGAGGCGGCAGGGAGGGAACTATCAGGCGGGGCGCGCGGGTGCGATCGGATCGACCAGTCTGCCCCAGGGATCCCGTGCGCGGGTGCCGGTCCCTCCTGGGAGCCCTTGGGGCCTTGGCGGGAGGAGGGAGGCGGTGGAGGGTGGGATGAAGGGTGGGAGGAAGAGATGATGAGGAGGAAGGGAGGAGGTAGATGAGGGAGGATGCTAATGAGGAGGAGGAGGAGGAGGAGGAGGAGGAGAAGGAAGGATCCGTAGCCATTTTGGCTCAAGTCCGTAGCAGGAGGCTCCGAGGCTTGGGCTTGGTGCGAGGGGTTTGCGGCCCTCACCGCTTACATCGTGTACTGAGGTTTCAGCCCTCACAGCTTGCCATCTCACTGTACATCCGCCCCCCTCCATGGGAGACTTCTCTCGCTGGGCGTGCGGCAACAAGAGGTGTGGCTTTCAGCACAACTATGCATCCCGTTCGAGTTGCTACAAGTGTGGCTGGCAACCAGGACGTCTCCCTGGGCTGTCGGCACCGCGGCAGGCTGCCCCGAAGCCCCGTGGTGCTTGGGTGCAGGGGCCCCCGCGCAGTCCTCAGAAGCCTGCGGCGCCACAGCTCACCGACGCCCAGGTTGCCGCCTATGCTCGCATGTCGGAGGAGGACTTCGCAGCCGTCGCTGGCGATCTGTCGGCCAAGGCTCGAGCGAGGGTGGCCAACAAGCGTGCCCTCGACCATGGGGAGCCCCAGACTGCGGCACGCGCGGCCCGCCTCGACGCCGACGTGCTGCAGCAGCAGGTCGCCCAGGCTCAGGCCAAGCTGGACAGAGCCACCAGCCAGGCGGCCAAGGCCATGCAGCACGTCCTCGACTGCCGCGCCGCCCTCGCGGACCTCACGGCGCAGCGCGAGGCCGCCGCCGCCCGCGCCGCCGCTGCGTACAGCGCCATGGCTCCGCAGGGCGGCGCGGCGCCGCCGGTGTCAGCGAGCGAAGCATGCAAGCAGATCGAGGCTCTGGTTGCAGCGGTGCAGGCCACGACTGGCGTCGACGAGGAAGCGAGGCGCCTCACCGCGCTGGTCAAGCTGCTGCGCGACAAGCTCCCCGCTGAGCCCCCACCAGCAGCGGCAGCGGCAGCAGCCTCTGAGGCGGCTGGCGCAGATGCAGGTGGTGGCAGCGATGCTGCTAGCGACGCTGATGTGGCCATGGCTGCTGCACCCGACTGGAGCTACTTCACTGACCCCAGCGGCGACTTCTTCTCCACCTTCGTCGAGTCGCAAGGTGGCGCCGCTGGAGCTGCTGATGACGAGCATGGAGTCTCCACGGCCAAGAAGATACCCAGAGAAGTTTTCGAGTCCCTGGTCAAGCAGATGCAAGATCACCATGTCAAGAAGGCCCGCACCGCCTCTCCCGAGGCCGCTGGCCAGCAGAAGCTTTAGCACGTTCTTTCGCATCACCACGGCCAACGTGACGGGCCGTGCAGGTTTGGAGTGTGTGCTTGGCAGCCAGGACGTCCTCGATGGCGATGCCTTGGCGGTTCAGGAGCACCACCTTGCCCAGGTACAAGCTTGGGAAGCCCGTCTTCGACAGCTGGGGTGGTCGGCCAAAGGGCTTGCGGCCCAGACCACCCCAGCAGGGGGCACCACTGGAGGTTTGTTCCAGATGGTGCGACGCAGTTTTGGCATGGCAGAGTTACCTGAGCAGAGTTTCTGTGTGGCCGAGGCGCGAGTCAGCCTTCTGCATCTTTCCGCCCTTCGGCCTGGTGGCATTCTATGGGCCAATGTCTATTTGCATGACTCGCAGGGCGTATCGGCTCAGAATTGGCGCCTCCTCACGTTGCTTGGAGGCATTCTTCATCGGTATGGCATGCCCTTCGTGGTCTCGGGCGACTGGAACCTCACGCCAGAGGAGGTGATCAGCACAGGATGGACCGACACCCTTGGCGCTGACATCGTGGCCCCGTCGCTGGCTACTTGTGTTCGTGGAGCGTCCCGCACGCTGGATTGGTTCGTTGTCTCCCGTGGGCTGCACTACGGCTCCAGCGTCCGCCTGCTCACCGCCGTGGGCACCAAGGACCACAAGCCCGTGCAGATCGAGCTCAAGTCCAGCCGCGTGGAGGCCCAGCTTCCACATGTTCGGGTGCCCAGAATGTTTCCTCGGCTTCGTCCTCACGGTTGCCTTCTTCCCTCTGACCGCTGGGAGTCGGTTCAGGCCCTCATCCACGACGGCTCAGACCCCGACACCATCTGGCAGAGCTTCGCAAGTGTCATGGAGCAGGAGTTTCTAGAGATATACCAGATCGACGGCAACGACAGCAACCCCTACATCGGGCGAGCCCGTGAGCTGCGCGTGCAGAGGCGCAAGCCTCCCCCGCCCAGGCAGCTGCCTTTTCCTCGCACCTCCAGCGCTGCTGTCTGGTTTCGTGCGCTCAGTCAAGTCTTGCAGGAGCTCTCTCATTGTCAGAAACTCTGTGAGCGAGTTTCGACCCTCAGTGCGTGTCGGCGGCTACGGCGTTCCGCGGGTTCTCTGCCCTTGGCCCTCGTGGGGCCGTGGTTGGGCCTTCTGTATGTAGCCGCTGACGTGGACTGGGGCCTAGCCAGCTTCCTCGCGCACGAGGCGCGAGATCTCGCCGCCCAGCATCAGAGGGCTGGCGAAAAGCGCCGTGATCAGGAGTGGCGAGACTGGGTTCGCAAGCACAGTGCTGCTGGCGGTGGCGCGCTCTTCTCACTTTCCAGGCCTGTCGTTCCTTGGCACTCTAGCCCGTCCTTCGACGAGGAGGGAGCGCCTCGCAGTGTGCCTGCCTCTCAGGAGCAGGAGATGCGCCTGTTAGCGGAGGAGTGGAGTCGGTATTGGTGTGTGGGGGAGTTGGAGGATCCTCTGTGCTGGCCCCAGGACATGGGGCCGCCGCTGCCAGACTTCTCTCTAGCCGACCTTCGTGCCTGCTTGCGCTCTTTCAGGCCAGCCAGCGGAGCCGGCTTCGATCAGGTCAGTCCTCGCCAGCTCGATGAACTCAGCGACGCAGGCCTCGAGTGCTTCAGACAGCTGTTGCTAGCCATCGAGGGCTCCTTCACTTGGCCACGCATGTGGACCAAGATAGTCTTTCTCATGAAGCGCGCAGGCGGGCTCCGCCCAATCGCGCTGCTGCACATCTGTGCGCGCGTCCAAGGGCGCCTGCGGCGTCCCCTTCTCCAGCAGTGGCAGCGAGAGAACTTTCGGGATTTCTGGTGGTCGACGTCGGGGAGGGGGTCGGAGCGCCTCGTGTGGATCCAAGCTGCCACTGCTGAGTGGGCCGCTGGGCGCAATCTCACGGCGGGCACAGTATTGCTAGACCTCCGCAAGGCGTTCGAGAATATCCGACACGGCGTGCTGCTGGAGGCGGCACGTCGCTCCAACTTCCCCTTGAGACAGCTGCGGCTGCTGATCGCACTCTACAGAGCGCCTAGGGTGCTAGAATATGCAGGGTTGAATTCCGCGCCGATCTGTACGCAGCAAGCCGTCTTGGCTGGCTGTCAGTTCGCTACTCTGTGCCTGCAGATGGTCGTCTTGGCTCCGCTCGACGCCGTCCAGTCGGCGTTCCCCCGCCAGACTGCAGAAGAAGTGCAGCTGGGGGTGGTGGTAGACGACTTTGCGCTGCACAAGGTTGGCTCGGAAGATCGAGTCCACCAGTGTCTTGACCGAGCCACCACCATGCTTCACCACGAGCTGCAGGCCGCGTTTCTTCCCGTGAGCCGCCCCAAGAGTCGGCTGCTCGCATCGCACGTTCGGCTGCGGAGGCGGCTTGCCTCTGTCCTTCGCCCTCTGCAGGTTCTCCCAGTACAGAGCGAGCGCAATCTAGGCGTTGACTATGCTGCAGGAGGTGTGATTCGTCGAGTCACCAAGCGTGGCCGCCGCACGGCAGCGGTGGCGCGACAGAAAAAGATTATTTCGCTGGCAGGACAGCTCCGAAGGCGAGCTCTCCACAACATGGTCCGTGCGGCCGTCCAGGCCTCCACCTCCTATGGGTCGGGGGTGATGGGGACGACCGACACCGAGCTGCGCGAGGCGCGCTTCCTGCAGGCCAGCGTTCAGTCACAGAAGTTGGATGGACGCTCTGTTACGCTTCTTTTGCACATGACTGGTGTCAAAAAAGTTGATCCTGCCTACAAGTTGCGTGCTGCTCCCCTCCTGCACCTCGCTGCTGCTGTGTGGGAGTCCTGGGTGCCCATCCCGCTCATCCTCGCTGGCCTCGACGGAGCCCACCAGGCCCTTGAGAGCACCTCTGTGCCCTGGAGATCCATCCGAGGGCCTTTCACCAGTTGCGTTGCCTCCGCCCGTCGTCTCGGCATTACGTTCGACGGCTTAGTTCTCTCGCACGAGTGCGTCGGCCGCTTCTCGCTCCTTGAGCTCTGCCCCAGGGCTGTAGCGCGGCATCTTGAACGCATTGTACAGAGCTGGTGTTGGAAGCGAGTTGCCGAGCATCTCAACATGCCAGAGTTCGGCAGAGGCCCCATGCTCGCCCCCGTGCTGTCTGGCATGCAACGGCTTGAGGCCCACGAGAGGGCTTACGTCGTTTCCGTCGTTGTCGGTGGTCAGTGGCCTCAAGCCAAGCAAGCCGAGCATCGCTTGTCTGCCGTCTCGCAGTGTCAGTTGTGCTCTGATTCCCCAGGGACCCTGGCCCACAGGCACTTGGCCTGCCCTGGGCACGCAGAAGTCTTTCAGATGGAGACTCCAGCCGTGGCCTCCTCTTTGGTTCAGAACCTCGGGCACCCTCTTGTCCGTTCTCTCGCCGAGAGGCTGCTGCTGCCGCTGCCTCCCCCCCCGCCTGCTCGCCCTGTTCCTCCCGACGAGCTTTGGCTCAAAGGGCACCCTGAGCTGCTGGACGGAGATCTCTTTTTGGACGGCAGCCTCCTGGACGGACACCTGCCGCCTGAGGCGCAGAGTCTTGGATGGGCCGTGGTCGCCCTGCACGGCGATAGGCCTGTCCCTGTCGCTGTCCTGGCTGGCGGCCTGCCTCCTGGTCTCTACGATACCGACGCCGTTGAGCTCTGGGCGTTCCTCCGAGCTCTGCGGCTTGCCCTCCCCAGTGCCACGTTTTGGACCGACTCGCAGTTTGTCCATGATGGAGTCTTTAGGCGTGGCAAGTTACACTGTCTCTCGGCCAGAGCTGCCTGGGCAGACCTCTGGCGCCTGGTGTGGGCCTTGATCGAGGATCGTGGTGGGGTGGAGGCTCTTCGGTTGCACAAAGTCAAGGCCCACACCACGGCGGCCGACCTCGAGCGAGGTCTAGTCACATGCAGGCAGCGCGTGGGCAACTCACTCGCCGACGCCACTGCCAAGGAAGCTGCCGAATTCACCCGTGCTCCAGTTTTGTACCGAGACGCCTATGCCGCTCAGGCGAAGGTGCTCAAGTTTTTGACGGTTTGGGTCGGCAGGATCGGTTGCAAGATGGCCGACCTAGACTGTCAGCACGTCAAGACGCGCAGAGCGCGTGAAGGCCGTGCCGTCCTGTCTGTGATGCCGCCTCCTGTCGTGGTGTCGCCCATCGTCTCTCGTGCCGACGTTGCGCTTGCCGCCCTCAGGAGAGATGGACATCCCTCCCACCATCCCACCAGGCCTTCCCCATCCATCTCGGGAATGGGGCCACAGGCATGGTCTGTGCAGTCTGCGGCGTTGGTGGCGTTGCGCTCTCTGCTTCTTTCAGGGCACAGTGCAACCTCCGTCCCAGTGCTTGGGGCGTGCGTGTGTTGCGTGGCCTCGCGCAGGGCAGGTACCTCCAGGGCTCCACCTGGGTGCCTCTTGCAGAGCCCTGGCGGCCTGACCTTCTCGTCGCCAGCGGGCAGGCGCTCCGCCCGCCTTAGTTTTGGGTGAGGGGGGCCCCGTCGCTGGCCCCTGGCAGGTCTTCGGCCTTCCTGCCAGGGTGACAAAAAGGTCCTCTCCGAAGGGCCCCCCCCCCCCGTTTTCTTTTCCCGAGGACGGAAGGACCTCTCCCCCTTTCGCCTCTCAGCACGTGCGCAGGAGGAGAAGGAAGGAAGAGGAGGAGGAGGAGGTCGGCGACGACGACGACGACGAGGGCGAGGAGGAGGGGGGGACTAGGAGGACGACGATGGGGACGAGGAGGATAAAGACCACGCGGGGGACGGGGGATGAGGAGGATCCACTTCGCTATCCCCCTCCGCGGCAGGAGTACTGCGACGCCTTCGCTGGCCTCGGAGGCGCCCAGCTCGCCGCCGCAGCGGGCGGCTGCGCGGGACGGGGCGCGGAGGCTGAGGAGGAGACCGGAGCAGGAGGAGGAGGAAGAGGAGGAGGAGGAGCATCGACTACACGTAAGAGTGACCCTTCGCCGGAGTGACCCTTGGTGAGGGCCCACTGGTTTCCCCCGGTCGCCGAGCGCGGTTCGATAGTAGCGTCTTGATCGTTTGTGTTTTGTCCCTCCGCGGCCCGCCAAAAGCCGCGCACCAAAGGTGACCGTTACACAAGGTCTCTCTTGCGTGTAGCCGAGAAGAGGAGGAGGAAGAGGAGGAGGAGGAGGAGGAGGAGGAGAAGGAGGAGGAGGAAGAGGAGGAGGGAGGAGAAAGAGGAGGAGGAGGAGGAGGAGGAGGAGGAGGAGGAGGAGCAGGAGGAGATGCGTTCGGGCCCGCTTCGCCCTTCTCTTTCGGGCCTCTCGTTGCGTCCACCCCCCTCCCTCGTCCCTCGCCGCCCCCCCCCGCTTGCGCGGAGCCCGCCTGCGCGGAGATCGGCCTACTTTCGAACCTGACACACCTGGCGCGCCGGACGGCGCCGCCAGGTGGGGAAACGCCTACGTCTGAAGACCTAAGGAGCCGTCAGGGTCTCCCTGTCTAAGGAGGAGGACGGGGCATGAGGAGGCGGAGGAGGAGGAGGGGGAGGAGGAGGCGGAGGAGGAGGAGGAGGAGGAGGAGAGGAGGAGGAGGAGGAGAAGAAGGAGAATGAGGAGGAGGAGGAGTAGGAGGATGAGGAGTGGGAGGAGGAGGAGGAGGAGGAGGAGGAAGAGGAGGAGGAGAATGAGGCGCAGGTGGAGGAGCAGGAGTGGCCGTCACTCGCGTGTCGCTACTGGGGTGGCTGCCTCGTCTGGGCGGCGGTTGGGGCGGAGTGCGCTGGCGCCCGATCACTGTGCGCTCCACCAGCCAGAGGCGCGGCCCGCCGGAGGAGCAGGAAATGGACGAGGCACGGGGAGCAGGCGGAGAGGGGTGGGGGAGAGGGAAGCTGAGGGGGCTAGGGGGTGGGGGAGGAGAGGGGAGGGGAGGGGAGGGCATATGGGGATGGGGTCGGGGGGCGGGGCGGGGGGGGGGAGAGGGCTGGGGGCTAGGGGATGGGGATGGCCGAGGTGGAGCGAGACGGGGAGAGGGAGGGGGGTGATGTT